TGCAATGAATGTGATTTAATTTGATTTTAGTGGGTACACTTCAACTATGACTAAATCCAAAACTACTATTAATATAAGAGACTATAGAATTCATCTACATTTTATAATGAAAATCAATTATACTGACTGGAATCCAATTAAGACTGAACTAGCAAATTCTCTGTTTAGTGTCGTATCAAGAAATATGATCTTATGATCTTATCAATTGTGCATCAAAAAGGGTCTGAGGAGAAAGAAAAATGAACTATAATAAAACATGTTTTGTTATTAATCACTAAGAGAATTTCTATACAAGGCTGTTAAGACACTTTATTTACTTTTGGTATCAGTACAGAACTGTGCTCGAAGAACTATACAAGGATCACTTCCTTTCCTGCTTTTCTACTATAAAACCTCTAGGTAGAATTGTTCTTTGCACACCAGAGAAAATAATATTTTCTCTTACCTTCACAATTAAATGCTGTATTTTGCTGCTTTAAAAAATCATCTCATTTTGTATGCTTCATACTATAAAACTCTAAACTGTAAGTCTGTAAACAACTCAGAGTAGGAATGACAAGTGTTCAGTAAATGCTCCATGCAGAAAAGCCTTAACACCACACTCTCTGCCTTTGATCAGTTGCTTGTATTTTCAGTTTGAAAGTTTTCATATAAGCTTCTTAGTCGTCTCAGGCAGAAAAGCTGACTAAGATTGTACAATTTGCTTTAGAACTTTCTAATGAAATAATTGGTAATGCCTTTCATTTATAAATTCATTTTATATGTGATTATCTCAAATACATTCCTCCTTATGAAGCAACAAGGCAAGTTTGGCTGGTACATAGAGCAGAACAGATACTCAGTAATATGAGTAAATGATGACGACAAACAAAAGAAGAGCCACCTTCTAGATTTAAATTCATCTGTGCAGAAAAAAAGGTTTCAGTTGGTTTCATCCTCTAATTCATTGGGAACCTAGTGTGTGCTTGCTACTGTAGTGTGTGCTAGTGTGTGTATGCACAAGGACAGAACAAATCTCAGTGTGCTGCTATCAGCATGCATTTTCTCCCACTAAACAGCTGTCACTGTAGATCACCCACCAGAGACTGTTGCTGGTGTTCCAGTGGGCACTGAGGAAAGAGGCCGGCTAGGAAATATGAAATGGTAGGTGGAATAAAGATTTTATTGCATGGCTGCCTCACAATGCCTTGCAGATGTATTGCACAATGATAAATTTATTTCACACCTGCACAGCATTGAGTCCCTTGTGTACATGAAATGGTAATGACAGCAATTAACACATTTCAGTTCCAAGTTGTAACACAACAAAATGTAGAAAAGTCAAAAGGATGTTTATGAATACTTCTGCAAGGCACTGTCAAACAATGCCGTACACTGAATAACATTTCAAATAGTTCCAGTGCAGGGATCCACATTTATATCTAATAGTAAATTTGCATGGCATCCTCATCAGCCATTTTGGTTCAACTTCAGGGACAAAAAATCTATACAGATGCTTTTTGAATTGGATGGATTGGATCCAAAACATTGCTCCAGTGAGCAGAAAGGCTCTTCCACCCATAAAAGGGTGTCCCAAATTTCTTCTTCCAACCTCAGGCCACTGTGTCACATGCTATTATAAGCCATTATGAGCCATATAAGCACAGGTTTGGGTGGAAAGATGAAATATAAATGTAATAAATACATTCATTCATTTCTTGAATATCCTGGCCTGGTTTTGTGAGCAGAGCTCAATTTGTAAATCTTAAGAGGCAGCACTTCCTTGATTGATCAGACATGGGTTTTATTATTTTATTCCTAAAAGCTTTTCATTTGGTATTTTAGTTTTTTTTCTTTCATTGTTTTGTTTTACTGCTCTAAAGTCTATTTTGCTGTGGAGGAAGATAAACACATTGTAAATAAATAAAATATGCAGAGGTGCCATGGATGTTAAAAGGAGCAATCAGATCGGATTTGTTTCCCCTAAATGATGCATGTGAGTACAACTTTAACAATATAGATACAAGTACCTTCACTAGCAAACAGTACTAAGGGAAAACAAAAATAGTACTTACGCAGTCCCACAGTATCATTTTTGCAAGAGTCACTCTTGCTTGGTTGCACAAGTGGAGCAAATGAAACAGCAAGGATGTTTTTGCTTTCCCAGGTATTCTGCCCAGTTCTCAGGATTTGTGTTAGCTGCATGGAATCAATGAAAATTCATGATACAAAAGTGATTAAATGCATGGCTCCATCAATATCTGTACTCATTTTGCATATACTATCCTCATTTGGGCACAATAAATTTGGTTTTATTGTTATATGAATGAGCTTCCTCGATCATTTCCTCCTCTAGTACAGCTTCAAGGAAGCTTTCATGTTTGCTTTTACTAGCCAGTTTATTCTTGCATCTAGGTCTGCATAAGCTGTGATTAGTCTTAACTATGCTTTACAGAAATATGCCAAGCTCAAAATTTGGCGTATGAACCTGACTTGTTTCAGTAAGTCATATTTAAGATAAACCATGGTTTAGAGTTCGAAAGCAATGATGAACTCTGGCAAACTGAAAATTAAAACTAACATGTCCAATTTTGTGATTGCACTGGAGAAGAAGGATGGGCTATGTAAGTCTGAGGCTTGTGCAGGCCCATTAATGTGACAGGTAAACCAGAATGCATCATTTTATCTCTGTTAACAATGTCTCTGGCTGCAACGAAAGTTGCATAGTAAATATGAAAAAGACCACTCTCTCTGCACATACAGTAGCACCTTTATTTGTCTAAGGGACAAGAAATCAAACCAGGAAGTATCTATATAGAAACATACTACCTGTGATTCTGATTCTTCAAGTGGTCATCAGTGTAGTCAAAATTCAGACACTTCTAGAACTAGGAAAGCATTGACAGGCCACACAGAACTCAGTAGTTCTGTTCAGAGCACCATGATCATTATCTTTCCACTCTATTCAGATGTTTGAGAGCCACAAGACATGGGCAAATATTGCGACTTTATGAACATCCGTTCTTACTTATCAGTGTATGATTTTTAAAAATGTGCATGATAACACATATAGACTGCTTTTCAAACTCTGTCTCCCAGACCTATCCGATGAGTTGTACTTGAACATAAAATAGTGGCCTACCTCCCAAAATAGGTTATTTAATGTTTTCAACGTGGAAGGCATGGGAGAAGGTTTTGCCCATAATTCCTTGCACATCTACAGTAAAGTTGCATAGAAACTGCTACTGGAGCAAAGATGTCAGGATAAGGTAATTGAAAGACTGTGCCCTTGATGGGAGACGAAGGTTGCTGAATTTCAAGACTTGACACCATCAACTTCCATAAAAGCTGTTTGGCACATAGCTGCTATCCTCAGTGGGAGGTTTGGAGTTATCAAAGTATATTGGAGGTATGAAGCCCAATATACATGTCAGGAGATGTGATGGCAAATGTTGCAAAGAATACAGATCCTGAGTTGAACAAGTGAGTTCCCGGCTTATAAGAATAGGATCACTCTTTTATCCAATAGCTTAGCAAATGGGAGAACAGAAAAGGCCTCAAACCTAGAAGAGGCAATTTATGCTGGTCTGAAACTGCCAAAATCTAAGCAGATATGAACAAGGTATTATAATAGGCAAGTGGTAACAACAAAGACAGGATCAGAGGAACAGAGGAGAAAGACAAAATCTTTAGCACTGTTACAATGAGGCCACATGAACTGTGATGTTTCAAACCAAATACTGATAGTGAGTTGATATAAGGTGAGGTGGTACTAAGATGAGCAAGTCCAATGTAACTATTTGCATGAGAAGAGCTAGGAGATAGATCCATGTAACAGACATAGCTGCTATATGTGCAGATACAGATTTCCCTGTTGATTCAGTTGGCTTTCAAACCACAGTTGCTTTGGGTACTGGCAATCATGGACCTTTTAGTATGTTGAAGAGGACACCTGTGATATCTGTAATATAACAGTGATGTGCCCCAGCCACAACAAGTGTCTTAATATCATGAATCACTTCAAGGATATAGGAAGGGAAGTGATAATTCTAGCAAAATTTGTATGTAAAGCACAAATATCAAGACCCTCTTAGTGAAATCCCATAGGTATTATGATGCTATTTCCTGTGTGACCATGACCAAAGATTGCTATACATAGTTTAATGTGCTTGTTTAACTTGGTTTGGACAAAATAGTAAATTATGGTAAATTAAAAGCTTCCTGGTCTGACTACCTTGCACTATGAACAAAAAAGAGAGGGCCTGCAAAAGGTGCCTTCAGATCTGAGGCAAGATAAGTTTGTCCAGATCAAGTTACTGCCTAGTACCTTTCAGATTAAAGAAAAAAGAAAAGAAAAGAAAAACTTAAAATGAGAAAATAGAGGACTTGGATTTGTCCTACTACATTCAAATATATTTCAAATGATTCCCATATTCCTTTTAGAAAACTACATCCTTGCTAACTTCAAAAAAGTTTGTATGCCCACATTAATATGCTGTGCTGAAATAAACAGAGACAACCAAGCTGCTATGTTTTAAGACAGTTAAATCTAATGCATGCAAATCCATGAATCACCCAGGACAATGTTAGTATGCATTCAGAAGCATTTGGAAGTAAAAAGATAAACAGATGTGTATATCTGATCAAAATAAAAGGGTAGGAGTTACTATGTAAATTTGCTTGGAAGGGCTTCATTAGGTACTTGCCGAAGACAGACTTATAAGACTAAGTTAAAACAATATTCATTTGTTGCTTTTTTAAATACTTGAGTATATATCTAAGACCTATTAGCAGCATCCACCCAGTCTTCCTTGCAATCCTCTGGACTGGTTAGCAGTTCAACAATTTATTTTGCTAGCTCCTGCTTCAGTCCAGTACTCATTTTTCCCCAAGAGATATTTAACAACCATTTTTTAAAAAAAGAGTAGTATAACCCCTTCAATTGAGAAAATGCCTTTATTATGCAGCGTAAAACAACAATAATAATTTGATGTGAGGAGGAAAATCTATACAGCAAATATGCTTCATTAATAAAATGCTTATTATAAAGTTACTTTGTTTACTTATTGAGCAAGGCGGGTTTCTAAAGGAGACCATCAGATTGATCCAGTCATGTTTCAGTGTATCTAAACTTCCCCATCAGTGAAATGGAGATAATTATACTCATAGTAGAAAAGCCCTTTGATATCTATGAATGAAAAATAAGTACTAAGTATTATTGTATTGCTAAAAATTCATGCTTTTCAAAATGTTGTTGACAGAAATGGGCAGAGAAAAAAAATGTCCCAGTTCTTCCTGTACATTGAACACTGCAGTCTGTTTTCTATGTAATCTGCTGTGAGGATTCCCAAGATACTCTTCTAGCTCAACTACTTTTTGGCTAAATCTCTTGGCAGCTCTAACAATTGCTTCATGGGTGGATCCCAACAAAGTGCTTATACCCCAACCAATTTTCTTGTGCTCTGTCCAATTTTGTTGCATAAGTGGCCTACAGCACTTATGTGATGTTGATTCAGCACTTGCAGGGCAACCCAAAATGAGCAGAAATGCTAGCTTCTTGGAGAAGGCAGGTAATGAACCTTATAATGAAGGAGCATGGCTAACCTGTCTCCTATCAAAAGGTAATGTTTCTGTTCATTTTCGGGTTTCTCCTGAAAGCACTAAATCTGCCTCGTATAAGTGGTAGGTCTTGCACAAGACAATAAAGAGGAGCTACAAGTTGCAGAAGGGAATTGGTGGAGAATGGATTCTTCTCAAATCATGTGAGCCTTGTCATATAATCTGCCTGTTCCATGAATTATATTCTTCGACTGTTACCTGAACATTTTGGAATACATTTGCAGAATGTAGCAACCACACTGTTAGATAATGTTTGTAAACCACCCAGACAGCCCTCTGGGCTATTGGGGTGGTATATAAATGCAATCAATCAATCAATCAATCAATCAATCAATGTCATCAAAATCCCAGTTTTTAAGTTAAGTGAGTCAGGACCAGGGCCTGGCTAACTTTGCAATTGTCTGCAGAACCAGGAAAATCTCTGCTGGCACTTGCAGGGAACAGCTAAGTGCAGCTGGAGGCCCTGGAGACCAACATAAAAAGAACATCTGCTCTGATGTTCATTGCCACAGCAACACAAGTTGTCTCCATGACTCTTTTGTGCACTGGCCCTCTGTATCACTGTGTCTTGAATCTCACTCCTGCCTTGCTCCTGTTTATTCCTGTTCATTCCACCTTCTTCCTGCTTGTTCCTGCATCCATCCCTTCCTGGGTGTTCCTGCTTGTTCCTGCACCCATCCCTGTTTCCAGCCTAATCCATGCCCTTCCACCCCAAGCTTGCCTACTCCTGAATGTGACTGCCCTCCCGGTATTGACTCTAGGATGCTTGTCTTGGACTGTGCTCCCTTTCTGTGTGATATTGGATTGTGCATTTCCATCCTGCATCAGCCTCAAACTATAACCCTTTTCTTTTTTCTGAACCCCACTCAGCACAAACATATTGGTCCCAGCACTCTGCCAGTCCATGCCTGCCACCCACAACCCAGACCTTACTAACTAGGACTGGTGTCAGTATAATCCCTCTCTTTTCATATTGACCAAACCCTCAAAAGGTAAGTATTAGGCTAGATGGATGCAGCTGTTGTCTTCCTTATTCCTGTTGCAATTGGACCTTGCCCTTGATGTACACATTGGGAACAGGGTCTAAGGATATTGGAAATGAAAGTGGTGGCTGTGGCTGCCTCACACAGAACTACTGTTTATTGCATTAGTCTGAAAGTATACTAGAGGTGGCCAAAGCTGGGAAGAGCTGTAATGATTTCAACACAGCTTCTCTTGCCCTCTGCTGGCCACCAACTATGTACATTTACACCCCAAGCCAGGTTTGGGGAACTCACTAGGGAGGCCACAGCAACTGGAAGGGACCATGCCCAGGGCTCTAGCAACCTTGTCACAAGCCCCAAAGTTAAAACACTCTGTTTAAATATGAACATAAAAAATAGAATATTGTAATACTGAAATCACACAAACTTTATTCCTAAATTGGTTGAATTTCACATTGAAGATGTATGGACAGATAGAAAACTTAATTAAGACCATGATAGGCAACTTATTTGGGGTAGGAAAAAGAAGGACAAATATTGTATCCCGTCCCATATGCCTATTTTTAGTGCCATGCCTCAGTCACTCAGTTTCCCTGGCAGAAGAAATGGGATACCTAGGGAAGCAACTTAACTGAATTTAGAGAAGAGCTACTTGAAATTCACTGTGAAAATAGCATAGGAACTGTCCATAAATAACACTGTACAGGACTAGGAACCTCTCCGGTGATCACAGGAAATGGGTAATTGGCCAAATTGTTCTCCGCTTTATGGTTTACAACATACCTTTGCATTCACTGTACTAAGACAACTGCTAACAGGAGAACAATCAAGAATATTATTACCCAGTTTTAAGTGTCATTTAAACGCATGGCAAAGGAAGATACATATAAATCACCTGATCTTCTATTGGCATAACCAGAATGCCTCCAATTTTCAATAAGATTTTCATATAGTTTTCATGGTCTTTTTGTACACCAGCTCCGCAGTAAATCCGGTCATATTGATGGCTATCCGATGCTATTTGCAAGCAGTTGCCAACTACAAAGGCAGGCTCACAGAATTCAAATCTGGGGATAATAAATTATTCAAATTTACATTAGAAAATTAGAAATTGTATTAGAAAAGCTCTAGGTTTTCAATCTAAACATTAAATGAAGCAGCATGAATTCACTGGAGTTTATTTGTAACAGGCAGGGTAAATATATAGTTTTATACTTTGTATCTTTAAATTAGCAAAAATTGTTTAAGGGTAGCTGAATGTGTGTTGTGATGGCTTGATCGTTGGTCTGTGATTAGCAAGTTCCAGATTCTAAAACTCATCAGGTGACTTTCAGCCAGTCCCTAGCTCTTGTCTCACAGGGCTCTTGTGAGAATAAAGTAGAGAAGGGTCTTAGATACCATCTTCAGAGGAAAAGGCAGGATAAAAGTATAATAACAGAAAAATATACTTAATTAACTGAACATGAGTAATTTTAAGCCAAAGAATATTTTTATCATAAGATTAAAGTTCTTATTACGCAATGGTCTGAGTGACTGTTTCCAAAATGCGCAATAATTGTAAGAGCTCCAAAACATTTGGACCGTACCATCCTCTCCCCCACAGATTTGAAAATAGTCCTAATTTATGGTGATTTACATTAAAATTTTATAGTGATCACATTAAAAATATATGAAGATCTCTGCTAAAAGTTCTATAGCATTTGTCTAGAAGCAAGACAAACACTCTGTCAGACCTAAAGGCCAAATGTGTGGGAGCTTGCAACGCTCATGCTGAAAGTCACAACAGCTTTCTTCATAAATCACTGCTGAGTCTCCTATCTAACACACACACACACACACACACACACACACACACAAACGCACACACTCACTCAAAACTACCTACATTTTTACTTAAGTTGGATAGATACATAAGTCTTGACATTTCCATTGTGATATTCTGAAAATAGGTGCAACAGCAAGACAGTACCTTTACCTTCCAAGTATAATAAGAAGTCAGAATGTTGTTGGGAGAAAGACAGACAATCATTGCAATGAATCACACTTCTTTTATATACTGCAATTGCATTATCTAGGAAATACACTGAACAGTTCACTCTACTGCAAGCATGATCCTGAACCAAACTACTTAAATTTTACCCATTTGTTTGGGCTTAAGTTTCTGAGCCTTGTTGCACCTACAAAAAAACTTCAAATCATTTTTATAATCAACAATTGGAATTTAAATAGTATAGCTCTTCTTAAAACTTGCTCAGTTTCTTGCATTGAGTTAAAATAAGTTTGCTATTGAGAACTCTGTAGTCATAACTGTCTCATAAACAACTTTTCAAGTAACGGCACAAACTGCCCTGTTCTTACTTTAAAGGCTTCCCTGAGAATGGCAATACAGAAATCCTGTCTGTAGTATTTACTCCATTGTGGTGATTTATTATTTAATTTATTTAATGATGATGATCAATTCTGATGCTGTCCCTGGCCATAGTTTTGCCTTTTGTTCTTTTTATTGGAGTTTATTCTCTACATTTTAGAAATCATGTCTACTTTATGAGTTGTGAAAATCAGGACAAAGTTATAGCACTACATTATATTATCTTCCTTCCATCCCCCAAGCCCCCAGTCGGTCAGTACGCTATGTCTACTGAAAATGTTCAGTCTGCATGGTATTTTTTGTTTGTCTCCCCCTTGACAGATTTGCTGTACTTCCTCAAATCTTTGACTTCCCACAAACCTTTGAGGAGCTCCGTCTTGTGTACTGATGGTATTGTTTGACTACATGAGGAGTGGCTTTCAGAGAACTGAATTCACTATTAATATGTGTGTGTGCACATGCACACATGTTTACAGTGTTGATTGTTTTAGCATTATTACGTTCTTAGAAATAAATAAATGGTGCGCTTAAAGATATGCAAGAATATTTCTTAAGATGGACTGCAATTTGCACATTTTAACTGCCATTTGAACAAGCAACCACCTGAAAACCATGTGTTGCTAGTGAGATTTCCAAAGAAACAGGTCATATAGATCCACATAGTTGCCAGGTGCTTATACCAGTTTAGTCTGCAGCCCTTTCTGAAGGTGGAAGTCAGAAAAAATACCCAACCTGGCTCACTTCTCATCAATTGATCAGAAGCAGGAAGGAAATTAGTTGAGCTCTAACAAGTCCAACTTCCCTGTTTCAGTACATCCCTAGGTAAGATATACATTTTAAAATATTTTTTAAAGTCATAAACTGCTGGTTGCCACCAAATATTGTAATTATTTACTGTTTTGACTATATGCAGTGCTATTTACTGTAATTTCAAATCATAGTATTTAAAACTTATTTTGAGGCAAAATAACCAATTTTTGTATGACTAATTTGTTACCACAGATCTTTTCCATATAGGATATTGTTTGTGGCCCATTGTGTATATTACATATAGTGAATACATATTTTACTTTGTATAAATAAAATAAATAGAAATAAATAGAACAAACAGACATGTTTGCTTGATGGGCTTCCACATTATAGGAAAACTAATATTTTCCCAACTACTGATCTTAAAAACTAGCTGAAGGTAGTGCTAATAAGCTCTCTGCACATGAAAATTACAGAGAATACTGGTCATCCAACTCAAAAAACTGAGTTCAGAACAGAGTTCAGAATCTGAGTTTTCCACATCAGGATCACTAGTACAGGTTAATGGTAAAGTTATGTCCACAGAGAGAAATCCTGAGCTAGATCACAAACTCCTCACTACAACAGCAGTGGTAGGTAACAGTGCTATCTAACCCCACCCTCCAGCTCATAGCTGCGCAGTGGAGTGACAGGGAAAAGCGAGCATGAATTCTGAGTTCTAGTGGGCAACAAAGCCAAGAAATTCATTCCGTCTGTGTCTTGCCAATGTTTGATTTAAAAATACCACTATGTATTCCAAACCCATTTTAATCATCTCAGTGCTCTACTGAAACAAATAAGATAACTAAAATAAATTCCCATTTATATAGGTCAAGATTCTATGACACCAAGAACAGCATACACACATATTATCAGAAGGGGCAGATTATTTTACTAGACACACTAGATCTGAGTATCCTTGCTTAATAGGGATAGGGTTACATTTTGCATTGTGTTCACACAAATTGAATGTCAGAAAGCATGTAATATTGAATGCTCTCTTTCTAGCGTAAGCTGGCAAAGAAATGCTACCTATACTTTGGGTAATATTAGAGCAGATGAAAATGAGTTGGCAAATGCAGTTGTTAATTAAGACAGGAGAATGATCTGGAAAGTATGAGTTGAAGGTAACGCTTAAGATTTGTTATTGTTTTTATTTATTTGATGAGGGAAGGTACACATGCATACAAGCACACAGCATGCACAATTGTGCTATTACGTGCCATCAAACCATCTCCAACTTATGGTAAACCTATGAATGAAAGCTCTCCAAAATGTCTTATCCATGATAGCCCTGCTCTGTTCTTGTAAATTCAAGGCTATGGCTTGCTTTATGGAGTTAATCCATCTCATATTTGGTATGCCTTTTCTTCTTTTGCCTTCAATGGTGGTCTTCTCCAGTGGCTCTTTCCTTATTATGATGTGCCCAAAATACAACTTCAGTTTTGTCACTTTTGCTTCCCAAAAAGTTCTGGTTTAATTTGTTCAAGGACCCACTTCTTCATTGTTATGTCAGCCCAGGATGTTCACAAAACCCTCCTTCAGCACCATGTATCAAAAGCATCAATTTTCTTCCTATTAGATTTATTTGCTGTCCAATGTTCACACACATACATAGTGAATAAAATAGTGTTGCCTTGGTCTCCAGTGAAATACTCTTAACATTTGATGATCTTTTCTAGTTTTACATTTCTGACTTTTACATTGTATTGTATAATTCTTCTATAATCATGATTTTTGCATTCTTCATGTTCAGCTGTAGTCCTGCTTTTTCACTTTCTTCTTTCCCTTTGTTATCATCAGCCATCTCAATTCATTATTGCTTTCTGCCATTAGAATCATCTGCATATCTTAAACTATGGGCGTGTCTTCTGCAAATGTCCACTGCTTCCTCTGATCCTAACCCAGCTTTCCTTATGATATTTTCTGTATATGGATTGAAAAGACAGGCCTTGTCTGATATCTTTGCCTAAAGGAAATTATTCTGTTTCTCCATATTTTTCCTAACATTTGCACACACACAATTAACCACATATAAAATTCACTCTTTTTATTATATTCTAATTTAGTTTCAACAATATGCAGAAACAGATTGTTTATATGAAGACAAAGACATAGAGATGTAAAGTAACAATAATGCTTATACCCTCTTAACTGATCTCTACTATTTTATTATTTAGGGGAAAAAACAAAACAAAACAAAACAAAAGGCAAAATAAGGACTTATCCCATACAGGTTTACACAGTTGGCATGTGCAACGGAATACAAGCTGGGCAGGCTAATGTGCAAAGCAATCTGAGACATAGAAGCAGGAATAAAGGAACAGGAATTAGCATCACCAATACATTCTGGTGATTTACCATGCTTGAAATCAATGTAGAACAAAACAACAAGTAGGCAAAGTACAGTGATGTAACATCTTTGTACTTCTGCTCCAATCCTGACAGGAGCATAAATAAAAATCCTGTTATTTGTTTTTCTATTATTCTGTACAAATGCTTAATGCCTATCCTAATGCAGGCTCTACATCCTATATAATATTTTTAATATGAAACGCAAATATATACACACACGATCTTTCCTTCAGGCTGTCATTATGCTGGAAGGTACTGTGATGCAAGAACCAATGCAATCCTCCTACTCAAAACAAACTCATTCCACCACCTGACCTCCATATACGTATCATAAAACTCTAGTGAAAATTATTCCTGCTGCAAAAATTCCATGGTTCATATCTAAGGACTCATTGCAGAACAATGTAAACTGTACTGTACTTGCTGATTCAGTGGACAAGAAATTAGGAAGAAACGATTGATTCATTCCTAATCTATAGAACTATACTTTGGATTTCAGCTAAACTCTTCTTTTTTGTGGGATGAATTAACACTTTGTAAGAAACTTTAACATCT